CCTTTGCACAAAGCCAGCAGTTTATAAGGTAAGACCTTCTATTGYTGAGAAATCCTAATAACTAGTATAGAGGTTTTCCATGAACTTTGCAGCTTCCTGTTAATTTCTACTCTGACATCCAGTTGCCTGCAAATAAAAAAAAACAAATTCTGTGTAAAATGTCCAAGTTGGTAGAAGTGGCAARTCTGTCAGAAGTGGGTAATAGATGAGATTTTAGAACTGGGATGGTGAAAGACTAAGGAAGGAAATGTTGTTAAAGACAAGAGAAGAAAGTGGAGAGGAAGTGTCTGGAAAAGAAAGCAGAAGATGCACTGTGGTCAGTTGGGAGGTCAAATGGAGGGGGGAASKGAGRAGACCTGAGTTCTGAGTGTTAGATRAATGATATCATCAGGAACTGGCACAAAGTCAAGGCATTTCTTTAAATAAGTGGTGATAAAGTTCTAAAGCCACAATAACACGTGTTTTTCTGCTTTTATCCCTCGGTGTGGGCTTTGATGTCAAACAGCAGCTTCTGGTTACATTATTAAAGCCATTATGAGTGCTGTGGAAATTAAGTTTTGGGATTATTTTGGCTTTAGMCTGTAACTTTGCTGCAGGTTTTTTTTCCCAGAAGTTTGTGATTTTGGAGGGAAGRGATGATCCAGACCAAAAATTGGCCATTTTTTTGTGCAAAAACATTASAAGTGGGTTTTATGCACTAGTTCTGAGCACCTTTGCTGTTGCCAGCAGATGTCACTGTGGATAACAAATCCCAGCACTTAGGAGACAAAGGAGGTAATTTGCTAAATGAAAATTCAGCCTTTGAAAGTAGATTGGGGGGGCAGGAATTTTTTTCCATAACAGACTTTTGTGAGCAAATAAAAAAGGGTTTCTCACTAATGAGGACATGTATTTTTAACAACTCTAATGCTGTGTTCTTTGGCTGTCTTCACCCGACTTGGGTAAGTTCCTGGCGCTCTGTGTGACCTCGGAGGGGGTTTCTATGGGATTATGATCCAGCTCAGCTTTATTGGGAAAGCCTTTAGTGTTTGGAGGGTGATTCAAGCAGCAGTGGATGTGCTGCAGTGTGTGTGTGCAGGAAACTGGCCATGGAGGAAGTGGCTTCATTAAGGTTGATTTGGAGGGGGGAGCAAGACGAGGAAAAAAATTGCCCATATGATTGGCTGGGAGAATAGCTCTGAATTATGGGATCCATCTGTTTCCTGTAATGTATTCATAAACCCATCAAACAATGACCTGAACGAATTGCTGAAGGAAAAAAATAATACACTGGCATGATATGTTTAACGCAGTGAGGCATTGGCATTGTATAATCAAAAATTCTCCTCACATCCAGCACTTTGTAATGGAGCTGCTGTGTTTAATAGAAGCTGTAAATAAATCCTGTCACAGTAGCAGCCAAGAATGCATTTCTGGGTTTAACTGTTTCTCTTCTGGAATGTCTGGTCCTCGAAGGCTTTAGAAATGCAAGTTTTATAGAGCTGGAGTGGGGGATTCTGAAATATAGAGAAATGTTAATGAGGTGAATGAAAGGAAAAAGCTGCCATAAATCAGTATTATGTGGCTTAACCAGTTTCTTTCATTTATGCATGTTCTTTCCTTATGTCATAGAAATGTACTTAAAAGCTATTGTTGTAATTGAAATCTGTTAGACTGATCCTATTCATTATATTAATAAAATCCACCTACAATTGCTCGTAACACTTTTTTATGCAGTTGGGATTCCCGAGATTGTAATCATCAAAAAGCATATGGAGTAATTATTGGATTTGTTTGGGTAAAATTGGATTAAGAAGTTTAGATACCATTAAGTACTGATAATTATTACAAGCAAGCTCATTGTTTAGTGTATGTACAGCTTGGAATGAAGAGTAAGCAGATACCCATCACAAACATCTTAAGAGCAAGCAATCTCAAGGCTTTCATTTTACRCCTTTAATTGTATTTTTGCAAGAGGCTTTCTACTTAAATGTTTTTGCTTTAGCTCTTTAATCACGTGCTGGTTATGAAAATCACTCGGTGTTAAATCCTTTCCCCCACACGATTTAAACAACATTTTTCACATTCAGGCAAATTTAGCCATAAAAGCTGCGTTTTAATTCCTGGCTTTCCAGCAGCTGCCCACATGCCATGAGCCGTGACAGTGGATCACTGGCAGGGGAAAGGGTGGACAGACTGCTGCTGGGGGCTGCCAGGGCTCTCCATGGATTGGCAGCTCAGCCCTTGGGGCTGATTAAAGGCAGAGCTCCCAGTGCCAAGGCTCTGCTCTGCTTTGTGTCCTGCAGTGGGGAAAACGCCATGGTTTGTGTTCTGCAAAGGGTACCAATCCTCTCAGGGTGCAGCCCTGCAGGAAGGGGAATGGCTAAAGGGGTTAGAAAGATGCTGTTATTGCCAGTATCACACCACAGTTAATAATTAGGGCATCCAGGGCAGACATTGGAACATTTGGTATTTCTCACAGTGCATATCAAGTGAAAATTGCTGTTTAAACATTGCTGAGGGCGACTGTAGAACACAGTCATATTGTCTTTGTAACATACATTCTCCAAATATTATTGCTGTGTTTGAAGTCTAAATTCCAACCTGGTATGAAGCTGGAATTTGGGGCTCAAATCTGTTTGTGGGATGTTGTTCACTCTTCTTGCTTTATGCCCTGTTACTGGTGTAATTAAACAGTTTTTTTCCAGCTACCATGATTTGTAGATAGTGTATTCTTGCAATAGCTTCCATTTAAGTACTCTTAAAGAGATTTTGATGTACAAAATAAAAATTACTTTGCTGTGGTGATTAGAGAAAAAAACAGTAGCATGAATATGCAGACACATTTTAATTCTAAAGTACAGATATTCTGACTTTCTTTGTTCTTTTCTCTCATCTGTGATTCAGATGTGTAGAGTGAAGCATTGTCTCTAATACCAAAGTTGGGTTTCTCTGGCCTCACCTTTGCAATGAAACAGCTTTGTTGGTTTATGTTRAAGTGGAAAGTGTTGTCTATTTCATGGAATTTCATTAGTGATTTTTAAAATAAATAAATAAATATATATAAATATATGCACACTTCTCTGGAAATATCAGATGTGATTTACATACCTACAATACTGAGATTATAATGCTTTTTAAAAAGCAGCCTGTTTTGCTCTCTAAAATACGTTTCAAATTAATTAATATTCCTCACAAAAATCTTGGGGCCAGACAAATCCCAGCTCTACTGGCATTGTGCCARTGAGTGATTCCCAGTCTCTTGTCCTTTTCCTCCTCTTCCCTGGCATTCCCTCTCATCTGCTGGCACCAGGGTGTGTGTGCCTGGCCTGTCAGCCAAGCTGGAGAATCTTCCTGGCTGGAGTGGTGGATTATTTTTGGTTGATCAGCCCGTGTCTGCAGTGCTCTGGGTGAACCTTGTGGTAAATGACTTGCAGTTTCAGCTTCTGCAGAAATCTCAAACCTTYCAGATCTCACTGTTTGTAAATGTTTGCATCTCGGTGAGGATGGTGGCAGGACTGGGAAATGTTTACATTGCTGAAGCAGAAGCAATAGGAGCTAAAACCATTCAAATTAAGTCATTTATTTTCTATCATGTGAACAATATATTTATTTGTATTGTGGTTGCAAAATAGTTCTCACATACATGTTGAATATGCAAATTTGGAATTAGAAAATAATTATTCTGCATTCCATTASTCCTTTTATCTAATTATTGAGAGTAAGCATAAACTGTGTGTTTCCAAAGCTCACTGTATATTTTGACAAGGTAAGGAAGGTTTATTCTCTGCTGCTGAGGTATTAGTGGTACTTCAATTTTTTTTTTTCTATTCCAAGTTCCTTTTTGTTACAATCACAGCTGAAATTGTTTGGGGTTCCAAAACAARCATAGTGGAGAAGTGAAGTGCTGATGGTTCTGTCAGACATTTCAGCATATTTTTGCTCGGTCAAGTCCCTGCTTTGATCCCAGCCTCAGCTGTTCACTGCTAACGTGGAAGTTGTGTGGTTTTCCAGATGTGTCAGAGCCTGGAGAGGGGCACAGTGGGAGTTTATAGTGTCTGTGACAGAGTTCAAGAAGTGTTTGGACAATTCCTTTGGACACAAGGGTGGCTCTTGGGGATGGTCCTSTGCAGGGCAGGAGTTGATCCTTTTGTGTCCCTTCCCACTCAGCATWGTCTGTGAYTCTGTGAGTGAGCTGGAATTTTACACTTGTTGGACATGGTTTGGGGTGAGCTGGGGCAGTGCTTGATTCTGTTCATCCCAGAAGCACAAAGAGTTTCTCTGGGTGGCCAAARAGCTCTGTCAGCTGCTGCCAGGTGAGCTGAGCCAGGGCTGCCATCCCCCAGCTCSGTGCCTGCTCCCTCCTGCCTGTCCCAAAGGGACCTGGCACTGCTGGTCACTCCTGCCAAGTGTGCAGGGACATTCCAGGGTGGCCTGGCTGGCTTTTTGCAGGGTGGGTTAATGTGAGGAATATCAGATGTATGCCTGGAGTGCAGGTGTTGGTGGCTGGGATGTCCTAGGTGTTKGATGCAARGGTTTGGATAAAGACCACAAGAAARCCAAAGTTCATGTGAGTGCTGAATRAGCTGGTGGATCAAGTMATTTAGCTGCTTCTTTGGAAGCTTATTAGAAGCCTGAAAATGTTTGCATGTTTTTAGGCCATGGGATTTGATGTTAATATTGGTAAGGTCACCCCCAAAAGAGCTGAACTAAAAAGGCAGTGGGGGCTCAAGGTGGGTGCGGCAGTGTGCCATGCACTTTAAATGTGTATTCTGTTCAATACTGAATTGTCACAGCTCTCTGTTGTCCTCCCTCCTGTTTTCAACCATACTGAAGATTCGTTTCAGTAAGGAATAAAAACTTCCAATACCATCATAGAAAGTAAACCTAYGCAAAAAGTAACACTAAGGAGACTGTGAAACATCAGTTTGCTCAGTTACAGTAAAAAAAAAGAAGAAAACCAAACCTACCCACAACTTTCCAGATCCTAAAACAATGATTATTATTCTCTTTTGCTGTAGTGCCAGAACCTATTAAGACCAGTTTAAGCCAGCCCCAACCTGCCGGTACCGGTACCAGTACTTCCACCAGCACTCTCACCAACAGCAGCAATGGCAAGCGCGCGTCTGCCAACGGGCAGCAGCCTGCGGCGTCCCGCTACCTGCCCCGAGAGGTGCCTCCCCGCTTCCGCCAGCAGGAACAGAAGCAGCTCCTAAAGCGGGGGCAGCCACTGCCCGCCGGGGCTCTGAGCGCCCCCGGCCCAGCGCCAGGCACGGCAGCAGCGGGAGCCAGCCCTCCTCCGCAGCAGCAGGGAGCAGGGGGACAGCAGCATCCCGGCAAGGCCCAGCCAGGTAAGAGCAGCAGCTCCTTGGGCAGCACAAAGGGGCGTTAAGGGTTGTTTTCAAATTCCTGTGCTATTGCTGATATTCTTACAGAAGGTGCCATTTCTAACATCCGCTTCTAAAAGGTTTTATTGTTTGTTCGTATGTGTGGGGTTCTCCAGTTTCTTTTTTCCCCATGTGTTTCTTTGGTAGCTATAACGTGTTTTCAGGAAATGTAAATTTTTAGTGATCATTCTTGCGGAAGCATTAATTTGGGCATTTAYAAGATTTGATTTATCATTTTAACAATTTTAATGCTTCTTAAAGAGTGTTTTGTATGTTTGTAAATAAGGAATAGGAATTTTTCCTATGTTCTGTTGTGACATTTTTATGCCTTTGCTTGCTTGTATTCTCAACTGTTATTTTCACCTTAGGAAAATAATACTTTGGGAAGGGTAGTTGAGTGTCTTTAGCCTTTCTGCCACTTTGTTCTGTCTTTTGCAACTCATAGAATCACAGAATGGTTTGGGTTGGAAGGGGCATTAGGGAACATCAATTTCCACCCCCTGCCATGGCAGGGACACCTTCCACTATCTCTGCTTGCTCCAAGCCATGTCCAGCCTGGCCTTGGACACTTCAGGGATGGGGCAGCCACAGCTCTTCTGGGCATCCTCAGGGAACTGCCAGGGCCTCAGCATCCTCACAGGGAACAATTTAATCCCAGTATCTCACTTCCTTGTGCCAATGCAAAGCCATTCCCCTTGTCCTGTCACTCCAGGCCCTTGTTCCTTAGTCCCTCTCCGGGTCTATTTGGGCCCCTTAGGCCTGGCAGGGTCTCTGAGCTCTCCCTGGAGCCTTCTCCTCTCCAGGTGAGCACCCCCAGCTCTCCCAGCCTGGCTCCAGGCAGAGGAGCTCCAGCCTTTGAGCATCTCCTTGGCCTCCTCTGGGCAGGCTCCAGCAGCTCCTGATGCTGGGARCCCCAGAGCTGGACCCAGTGGGGCGGGGTCTCAGGCACAGGGGCTTTCCTTTGGCTGTTGGAAATGGGATCTTGAGGACTAAGTCTCCTCGCCAACTTTAATTTTCCTGAAGCTGCTGATGGGAAATAAGCAGCTCTCTTCTTATTTGCCCTTCTGTGCTGGGGATGGTGGAAGCTCTGCAGTGGAGATGAGCTCAGTGGTGCACATCCCCTTTCCAATCTCTACTGTGTGTGGATGCCATGTCAGGAAAAACAGGGACTGTTCTGGCATACAGTTATCCATAGCTTAAAAAAGTGATCTGGACTAAATCATAAAGGAGGGTTTTGATATCTTGAGTATTAGTCATTTCTGTATGATCTCAAGTGTTGCTCATTATCACTCATTAACGCTGTCAAACATCACAAAATTTGGATCTGAACTGTCTGCAGTTTTTCCCTTTGGGCGTTAGTGAATCTTTCWCTATTTTTGCTGCTGAGCAGAACTCCAACAGAGAAAATTCTTTGGTGTTGTACTTAAAAGTTTTAGTTAGATAAGAAAATAATCTCTCTCTGAAATTACAGCTTCTGTGGTTATCGAAATACATTTGAAAATATCACTCAGCTGCTCCCCAGAAACCCAAAACTGAATAGACAAAAYGAAACAATTGATTATTTATTAAAATGGTTCCTTTTTTTAGGGAGAGAAGAGGTTCTGCTTCTGTATTCTCAAGTATTTGGCTTTAGTGAGATGGAAAGTAATCATTTCCCAGCAGTCTTTTAACTTTTTTAATCTTTCTTGTGAATCCTAATTCATCAGGGATGGTTCTGACATTCTTGGCTTCTTCAGGACTGGGAGATGTATGTTAACTGTCAGACTAATGTTCAGTGTTGGAGATATGTTTATTATTTTAATTTCAGAACGCTGGAATCACAGAATCATAGCATATCCTGAGCTGGAAGGGACCRCAGGGCTCACCAAGTCCAGCTCCTGGCCCTGCCAGACCCCACAACAATCCCACCCTGTGCATCCCKGGCAGCACTGTCCAAACCCTCCTGGAGCTCTGGCAGCCTCRGGGCTGTGCCCATTCCCTGGGGAGCCTGAGCAGTGCCAGCACCCTCTGGGGACASAAGAACCTTTGATACCCACCCCAAWCCTTCCTGGCACAGCTCCAGCCATTTCCTCGGGTCCTGGGGAGCAGAGATTGAAGCTGCCCCTCTTGTCATTATTTATGTGGGACACACAGAGCAGCCAACTGAAGTGGCTCAGGCTGCCTGAGGGTCAGGATGAGGTTTCTTCCAGGCATCATTATAGATGTATCTGAAGCATCTGTGTTTGAGTTTAATGAAACAAAGTCCACTGTAAATCATAACATAACTCATAAAAGAACTTGGCTTGTAAGAGTGTAGTATGAGCTGTCTGACTTTGATCTTGCCAGATGCATTTCTACCTTGAGGCTTTATTTTTTTCCCAATTCCTATTTTAACTTGCAGTATGTGTAGTTTGTCAGTCTGGCGACCCTCAGCAGATGGTTTACACTGTTGAATTACTTCGGGGGTTTTTATTTTTTTGCTACTTTTATGTTACCATTGGAAAAGTTCAGAGTACATTAAAAGCCAGTAGAAATGAGAGGAAAAGGAACAATGCAGTAATTTTTCAGCTTAATATTATTTCCCCAAACAAGTTAACCCAGATAAACCCTTAGCAAAAGTATTACATAGCATCATAGTCATGGATTGGTTTGGGCTGAAGTAACCTTAAAGCTCACCTGCCAAGAGCAGGGACACCTTCCACCAGACCAGGTTGCTCCGAGCCCYACCCAACCAGTGTCTCACCACCTTTACAGGAGAATTCCTTCCAAATATTTCATCTAAACCCACCTTTCTTCAGCTTACAGCCATTTGCCCTTGTTCTATCCCTCTCCAKCTCTCCTGGAGCCCCTTTAGGCTCGGGAAGGGGCTCTGAGCTCTCCATGGAGCCTTCTCCTCTCCAGGTGAGCACCCCCAGCTCTCCCAGCCTGGCTTCAGAGCAGARGGGCTCCAGCCCTTGGAGCATCTTCATGGCCTCCTCTGGCCTTAMTACSCTCTGAGTAAATGATTTAATCCTCRCTTGAAATCTAAACCTTCAATTTTAATTACCCAGTAGCACTTTGTGCACAGAGTCACAATTGTCCTGGTTCTGTTTACTCTGTAAAGTCCAAAAGCTTTCAAAGCCACCACAAGGTCTGCACASAGTTCTTGGAGCAGGKAACAAGGTCTTAAATGAGCTAAATYTTRRCTCCCTTTTTGTGTGCTGACCCAAGAWGGTGTTTTGAGATTTCAGTGATGGCCTTTTCCACACAGAAGGGACTTGCTGAMTTCTGGAGCTCACATAGTTCTTTCCAGCAGGTGGAGCATCAGCTCATTTACTGACTGCAGACACAGGAGGCAAAAATAAATGTTCAGCTCGGCTTATAATGACAGCAGCTCTGTGCCYGGCTGCCCTGAGAGGCCAAGAGAGAAGCAGCTCTCTCCTGAGAGACCTTTGTAGCCATGAATTGCACATATTCACAGTCCTACTCAGTCTCTCATACAGGCTTTGTTTTCATCTTGTCGAGCATAAAGAGCAAAGAAGTGGGAAGAGAACCCAGGGAAGGCCAAAGCCTTTTCATCTCAGCTCTTAGGATTTGAGTGACTGTTAGATTTAGAAAAAAATAGGGAATTTYATATCCTGTAAACATAAGAATTATCCCTGAAACCTTATTCAAAATCATCATATTTCTGTGAATATGAAAATAAAGTATTTTAAACAGGAGGAATCTCACTAAGAGAATACTTTATTGAAAGGAAGCTTTTTGTCTTTCTCCTCTTAGCATCAGTAGGAACTGTTTTCCTTTAAATGTCAGTCTCTGACTCTCTGGGTATTTCATTTATTAAAGAGTCTTTGCAGGTAAAAGTTCACTGGGGAAATGATGGGAAGGAACAAAAAAATCAGACTTGTCCAGAAGAGTGGGTGTAGGTACCTGAGCCACATGCAGACAGGAATTCTGTCTGCCTGAACAGCACCTTTAGTGTGGGAGAGGAATCACAGCAGGGGCTTTTTTGGGCATCCTCACAGTGTAAAGGGAATAATGCAGCCATGCTCAGGGCTCTCTCCTGCCCTCACTGCCTGACCAGAGCCCCTCACACCTGGGCTGGGTYCTGCCCAAGCAAGTCTGCCTTCTCTAACAACAATAACACCTTTTTATGGATGATCTGGTGTAATCACAGAGTCAGGATTGTCCTACATGATTGTCCTACCACCATCTGTCAGCTGAAAAGCAACCTACCAYGTCCTGCAGGAGTCAGGGTGGAACTTGTGCCCATCTTTTTATTGGCAGGTAGAGTATTTTGCAGAACAGATGCATCTTATCTGTTTCTAAAGTCCAAAGAGAAATGATAGAAAGTAATTCCTGCAGTAATCAGAATGAGTTTTTCCTGCATTCCTTCTTATATCCCGAACATGCTTGGTGTAACTTTATATTTTTTCTTAYAGGGCCATATCCCTTCAGAGGTAATTTGTAATTATGCATCTTTTCTAGCCTTATTTATAACTATCTGGATACAAGGAATGCTATTAAAGAGTCACTGCCAGTCTCTCCACTCTAAAAATCATACTGGTCTATCTCTTTATTCTCTTATCAGCAGGGCCTGTTATCTACTGCCTCGGCCTATCCAAAACACTTATCAGAACTTAACTGCAATGTCATGAATTAAAWAGGATGTTCTGCCAATGTAAGGCAAGTGGGAATTAATGGCCACTAATATATWCTTTGTCAGGTTTATCACCTGGATGTATCAGTGAAGGGGATGAGAATAGGGATTTTTTTGTTTCTCTCTTAAAGGAATTTCTAAAGCATTAACTAGACAAACTGTTACAAARTTAAAACATTTCAAATTGCATAGARTATTTYAGAAATCTTACCCCTTGAAAATAGTGTTTTATTAATTGTTAACAATTATGAAATTATTTCGTGAGGTCTACTACATTCTAGTAGAATTCACACTATTCTACTACACTCAAGTAGAATAGTTATTTGTCTGGAAGTTCTGTCTTGAG